CCCTGATATTACTAAGCACTTTCAGTCACCAAGAGACATGCCTAGCATACAGATGAAAATATTTAATTGTTAGTAATCTTCCACTTTTTGGCAGAAAAAGAAAGTGTAAATGCTGGTTCCAGTAACGACACTCAGTGAAAAATAATGCACTGTAAAAACGCATTTTTCCATAGTGCATGATTTGTAAACGAATACATTTTGAAGTTTGCATTACAAAACCAGCTCTATATGGCTTTTCTGATGTAGTAAACTTGCTCAGTAGCTCACCTGGTGCAGCATTACGTACAGTGTTAAAAGAGTTCAAAGACTTATAGAATCAAACTAAAAGGGCATGGTTGCTTTTTTGAAAATATATTTTTATCACATGTTTAAGTAGTAATGCACATTTAGTGTAACTCGCTGGGCATTTCACTTTCATATTGTTGCGAAACGTGCAAGAAGTAACGTAATTTTTCCAATGAACCTGGGATGAAGACAGAAGTAAATGAATGCAGCGATGCTCACAAATTTCTCTGTTTCTCAAACTGCATTAAAACTCAAAGGACATGCAAACACTTAAAAATGTGATAGAAATATAATTATTATAAATGTTAAAATATATATAAACATTTCTCAAACTTAATGATTATGGCCGATTTTTAATTCTTGTTCAGCTTCAATTAAGATTAAATTCCTTTACACAAAGAATTCGAATGGTTATACTTTTGTTAAACATCACATCTAGATTTGATTTATAAATAAGAATTTCATTAAGAGAGTGTTTCCTCCATATTTTACTAAGAAAAGAGAGCTAGAGGTAGTGCTGGGCGGTATGACCAAAATATATCATCAAAATATATCGTTTTCACGGTACATTGACGGTATTTCTTTTTCATGCATGCTGTGTCATCACATTCTATTAGTTCTACAGCTTCAGTTTCGGAACTTTCATGCTTAGTAACACATACAGCTGTTCCCTCACCACAGTGCAACAGTGAAAAGGGACCCCTTTCAAACAGTGTCGCGTTCCAAACGGTGTTTAAGCGACATACACCGGTATTGTGGTATTTTAAAAATTAATATCATAACAAAAATAAACACCGGTATTCGGTATGAACCGGTATACCGCCCAGCACTAGCTAGAGGACATATGTGAATAATACATTATGCAATTGTAATTGCTTTTATGCCAAAAATCATTAGGATATTAAGTAAAGATCATGTTCCATGCAAATATTGTCCTATCCTAACAAACCATAGATCAATGGAATTTATTCAGCTTATTCAGCTTTCAGATGATGCATAAATCTCCATTTCAAAAAATTGACCCTGTTTTGTGGTTTTGTGGTCCAGGGTCACACTGTATGTGTATGTAGGAATATATATATATATATATATATATATATATATATACACACACACACACACATGCATACATACATACATTTAAAATGTTTAAAAATATGTCATTTATAAAACAGTTTGAAATAATGCACACATGCGGTAACTCTAATGGCCTTACAAGCATTAAACAACATATTAATCTATTCAGTCACATAAATTATAAAATAATATGCCAATTCACAGGAAATTGTATATTGTATATACTTCTTTTTTGTTAAAAGTTATCTGAATAAAGTGAATTAGTTTAGGGCTAACATTCAATCCCCTAAACTACAAACATCTCTGCTCCTCAACAATCACATACACTTCATTGTGCAATAGAGGCGGACCCAAAGTCAAGGCTGTTGGCTCGATTGCATGCTGCGCTATCTAGCTGACCGGTGCCTGTTTTCTTCCAGAGGTGTTGCGCAGGATCAACACGTCTTAACTGTCATAATAAGCTGCAGACAGACTCGCAGGAAACAGCAGGTCCCTGAAGGTCATATGGGCTAAGCCACATCTCAGAACCGTGCATGTGTTTTCCATCATTAATTAGCTGGGATGTTTGCTGCATGCAGTCACCAGATAACCGCAAATGATTATGTAACATTTTTGTCAGCGCAGGCAATGCCCGTGGCGGCTCGCCAACATAAACCTCACGCAGGAATGCGAATGGCCTTTGACTTGGGCCGTGACCCTGAAAACACATTGTTAGCCCATATGAACTTGATCTGATGTTTGTTTGGAATGGCCAAGCTGTTGTTGTCATTGTTTGCATTCCGTCCTCTTGATCGCAACATTATTACTTTTGCCATAAGCTCTTAAAACTTTACAGAGAAATTAAACACTTGTATAATTGCGTAACAAATGTTTGATTGACATTATGACTTACAAAATATTTCAGTATCAAAGGACGCTCAGCAGAGTTCACCAGTAGTTTGCTGTGACCTCTGTGAAAGAGTGCATCATTTGGAAAGTATTGAATTGTACCCATAGGTGTTGTGGTAGTACCATGGTACAGTGATGTTTCAGATGGTAATACCGTGGTACTGCAATTGCTTCTTGGTTTACCAGAGTATTCCAATAATAAAGTTACTTTCAAAAAATTAGTACGATGGTGCATGCCAAAACAAAAGTATGCAGGTCCAAAATACATGTAATATGGTATTTCTGGTACTTATACTTGTACTCTATTTTTTTAAGGTTTGATTGATAAAACGTTCATATCTTTCAAAAAAGTCTCTTATCCTTTTTAAGGCTGCATTTATTTGACCAAAATACAGTAAAAACATTAATATAATGTGAAATATTATTACACTGATTTCTATTTTAATATGTGTTAATATGTCATATATTCCTGTGATGCAACGCTGAATTTTCAGCATCATTACTCCAGTCTTTCAGTCTTCGGAAATCATCCTAATATGCTGATCTGCTGCTCAAGAAACATTTGTGTAATATTTTTAGTGGAAACTGTGATACATCTTTTTCAGGATTCTTTGATAAATAGAAAACACAAGCATTTATTTGAAACGAATCTTTTGTAACATTATAAGTGTCTTTACTGTCACTTTTGATCAATTTAATTCATCCTTGCTGAATAAAATATTCCTTTCTTTCAAAAAAATGGTAATGTAAGTAGTCGAAAACTTTTGAAAAAGAGCAAATGCATAAACATCTTAAAAACATCTGCTAAATGTTTTAACATCCAACAGGGTGCATTTTAGCCACTTTATTCAGATGAGAAAACAAACAAGACTTTCTGTTTCTTACAAACTGCTTTATGTTTGCAATGCATGTTGTTCTGGGTGGTTGCTTACTTTTCCAAGTGCAAAGAGTCAAATATTGTAAGTCTGAATGCTTAGAAAAGCAATAGTGCACCTCTTCTCAAAAAGCCACATGATTTAATCATTCATTTCCACATTCATTTTTCTGTAGCAAAATCATTCATTTTTCCACAGCAGCAGTTCAGGTTTAAAAGTTTAATATGTAAAGCGGTAAAAAGGAACAACTGACTGGACTCGAACACAATACTAATGATCAAGTTTCGGATGATTCCAAAACAAATGAAGCAGTCCAGTGCAAACCTCATGAATATCCACTGAAACCCTGTAAGTATGATAATATTCCAAACAAACATATTGTCAAAACAGGACTGATAATCTAAAGCGCAAGTTGTTCTCTTCTTACAATAACTAGACAAAAGATGACCGTAATCAGGGTAGCCGAAGCTGAGATACTACTAGAAGGATCCATCTGACCCTGAAGCCAAGATACTGTCAGTGATGACTATGTGAAGATATTTAAAATGTTGTTGTAAATGTCATTTATGTAACACTTCGATAAGACAAATTCCAGTGAAACAAGAGCAAGGGTGTTGAATGCTAAACAGTACCGTGGGTGCATTTACATGCAACCAAACAATTAATTTACACTCAGATTAATGATTCACGTGAACTGATGAAATCGTAAATAATCTGTTTAATATGAACATTTTAGCCATGTAAACCCTTGAATCTCACTACTTTCTTAATCGGATTCAAAAGTACTTTGCAAACACTAGGGCTGGGTGGTAGGCTATATACAGTTTGTACTGTATGATACATATGAATATATTACCAGCGCATCTGAAAAATAGGGTATATGTTGAACGTCACCTGACCAAACCCGGAAAACAGCTCTCATCTCTTCCGCTTGTCGGAGAACGTGTTAACAGCCGTATTAAATAATGGCGATATCTATAGACTTTTAAGGCAATCAGTTAAACTAGCCAGCTCTTTTTATTGTTGATGATTGGTCAGTGGAGGAGAGTGAGAAGTTATTTACATGTTTTCAACCAAAAATGGAAAATGTTTTATGCGTATTGGCCGTTCATTTAAACGCGTTTTGGGGGGGCCTGAACCTTTTGAAAACAGGTTTCAAAGTGCACGTTTTTGAAAACGATACTGTTATCATGTGTAAACGACGAAAAATATGAATTTGTTAAAATGGTGACGTCATATGTATGCATAGTTGCATATTACGTGTTCATAGACATACATACATCCACAGACGTGTAGTGTTTCTTTACAAAGTGACGTCGCCAACTACTGGCCAGGAATGCATAATACAGTATTATTGGTCATTTTTGTGGATCAGTGTGAACGGGGATCGTTTTGACAATGTTGTTACCTATATGCATTTTTTTTCAAAAACGCAAAAAAAAAAAAACATTTCATTTTTTGTATAAAAATGGTCATCTTGTTTTGTAAACATACCCTTTCATATTTGCTAAAAAGCTTTTCCGACAGGTATGTCAACTTCCTCTTTAGGTATATCATCAAGACAAAAATGGCACTTATGTAGATATGGTGAGATTTTCGCAGTGGCTTTTTCTGGGCATTTCACATGCACAGACATCTTGTTTAGAATATATGTAATGCACATATAAACAAATATGTGAATCGGATCGCAAAGTTTAGGGTTCATATGAACTGAACTTTCAGATTCTCAAATTGGATTGCTTTCATTCCAACTGACTGAAATTAGTGCATGTAAATGAGTAACAGAAAGATGCCACAGCTAAGAAACTAGTATATACACACATACATCTTCAGCAGAGCACGTTTCAGATCAGATGAGGGACACCGAGGTCTTACCTTTCTTTGACTTAGCACCGATCTTTAGCTTGGAAGGCCATGCAATCTGAGTATCTGTCTCCTCCATGACCTGTGGGACAGAAAAGGAAGCACATCTTAAAAAGACCATATTCTACACGTTTTTCAGGCAATTCCACTTATACTAATACGTTTAGTGGAGTTTTTTATAGCAGAGCACTGAGCTCAAAATCAGCATATTAGAATGATTTCTCAAGGATCATGTGACCCTGAAGACTCAAGTAATAAAGCTGAAAAAATTCAGCTTTACCATCACAAGAATACACAGGAATTACATTTTAAATGCATTAAAATAAAAAATAGCTCATTTAAATTTTTGATTAAACAAATGCAGCCTTGGTGAGCAGAAAAAAACTTTGAAAAGAGTAATTATTCCAATCTTCTGACACAACAGTTTATATCATTCACACTCTTATTCTATTATGTGAGCCTTTTGAATACTTGCAAAAAAAGGTACATCTAATATATGCATAACTTCATCTTAACTATCCAATATTGTGATAAAGCTGCTACATGTATTGCATTTCTGTTTGTCTTCACTTCCTCTCCATAGTAACGGTCAACATCAGAAATTGGGACGACTATGGTAATCCACATTCCAATAATCTGATGTTGGTCATCTGAATAAAATGTCAAGAGCTTGTCTGCCTAATATGTTATTAATGACATCCCACTAATTACTTACAACATCAGAGAAGAGCCAAGAAAAAGAAATGTGCATTCCTGTCAAGATTACATTTTCACAGTACTGAAAATGGGAGGGTTTTTTGACCTTTCTTTGAGATTTAGATGACAAGAAAATGAAAACAACATGCATATACAGGTAATTCATAATCAAAATATTTATCCCTTAACCTTAACAACGCGCAATGATGCTTTGGGAATTTTATTTGGACAAACTAACTTTATTCCATGTGGTTAACCATACTGAAACACCGGTGTTCTGTAAGACAGTAAATGAAAAGTGGGGGTCATATGATGCGATTTCAAGTTTTCCTTTCTCTTTGGAGTGTTACAAGCTGTTCGTGAATAGATAAGATCCCTAAAGTTGCAAAGACTAAAGTTTCAAACCCAAAGAGATATTCTTTATAAACGTTAAGACTCGTCCACGCCCCCCTAAAACGCCTCGTTTAAACACGCCCCCACATGTCTACGTTATGATGTGGGGAGATTTGCATAACCCTGCCCAAATGTTCACGCAAAGAAAGAAGGCGTAAAGTTATTGTTGCTGCCACCGCCGCCGCCATGTTGTGAAAACTCTATGTGTTTCGTTGCGAAAGCAAAAATACTTTGTTTGGTGTTCCAAAAGAGGACACGACTAGAAACCAGTGGTTAAGTTGTATTTACACACTGACGATTCAAACGTGAGTTTTGGGCAGTGTAGAGTAGTGCTTGTTGTTTGTCATTTCTCCGATCACAAATGCAGACATGGTTTTAAGTTTACGCGGCGCGATGCAACGCAACGCGTAAAAAGACAGTAAAAGTAATTTTAAGCCGTAATTATGTTCCCACTGGATGCAACAAATGCCTCGTTTATAATGGGTTTTAATGTTTTTGTCTTGATGCTCCGGGACACGGCATCACAGTATGGTAAGGTGTGTAACATTTCCGTCACACGCTTGAGGTATTCGGCCAATCACAATGCACTGGATAGCTGGCCAATCAGAGCACACCTCGCTTTTCAGACCGATGAGCTTTGTAAAAATCGACACGTTTCAGAAAGGCGGGGCATAGAGGAGAAACAATAATGTACAGTATGTGGAAAATAATGTGTTTTTTTAACCTTAAACTGCATAAACACATTTCATTACACCAAATACACAAAATTATGTTCTTTTTAGCAACATCATATGACCCCTTTAAAGATTTAGGTTTTAGGCTTTTGTTCTGCATGTCAAGTCAAAAAAAGTTTAACTTTTACAAATGTGTCTGTGGTGCATCAAACTGTTTTTGAATGCAATGTCCCCTAAAGTCATTATTTGGTTAAATGATTGCAAGAAAAGATAAATCACAATTCAGTATGCAAGTAGATGTTAGACCAACAAATTGTATTTTTGTCAATGGGAAAAAAAAAACCTAAGAGAGTGCATCTACTGTAAAAATAAAACCTTTACAAAAATGTTAAAGTCTGTATGTTACAATTAATGGTTTGCGTTGAGCATGACTGCACTGCTGTACATTTTTTAATGGATTTGAAAGAAGCTCACCAAGGCTTATGCCCATGCCCACCAAGGCTGTATTTATGATCAAAACACAGTAGAAATAGTAATATTGTATAATATTAAAATATTATGTAATTGATTCCTGTGATGCAAAGCTGAATTTTCAGCATTACTCCAGTCTTCACTGTCACAGGATCCTTCAGAAATCATTCTAATATTCTGATTAGCTTCTCATAAAAACATTTTTACTATTGTCATTATTATGTTGAAAACAGTTGTGCTGCTTCATATATTTGTAGAAACAGTGGTACGTTTTTCAGGATTTTTATTTATTTATTCATTTTGATGAATGGGAAGTTCAAAATAGCAGCTTTACATTTTAATTATCTTGAAATTTGAAATTGTAATTAGATCAAACCAATTAGACCACCTCAGAAGACACATGGTATCGACAGGGTATCGACTGCTTTAATACTGGCATTATGTGCTTTTTGGAAAACTGAAGTAGGCCTATTGGTCAACTACACATGCATTGAATGGACCTACAGATTTATTTGTCTAAAAATCTTGTTTGGTGTGTGACGGTTATAATGGCATGAGGGTGTGTAAATGACTACATTTTCATTTTCTCAATAATTTGTTTGAGGAACATCAATATGGTCTAAGCATTGTAATTAAAATGTTAATAAATCCAGTAAGAATGGATTTGAAAACTGTACGTAATATAATCTGTTGAAACCACCCATGTAATGATCCATATCGCTCTGTCACAGAACATGCAACACAACTCTTTGTTCAAGCTCTTGTTCTATCCAGGCTGGACTATTGCAATGCTCTCTTGGCAGGTCTTCCAGCTACTTCTATCAAACCTCTACAATTAATCCAAAATGCCGCTGCAAGATTAATCTTTAATGAGCCGAAAAGAACGCATGTCACACCTCTGTTCATCAGTTTGCACTGGCTACCAGTAGCTGCTCGCATTAAATTCAAGGCATTAATGTTTGCCTACAAAACCACTACTGGCTCTGCACCCATTTACTTAAATTCATTACTTCAGAGTTATGTGCCCTCTAGAAGCTTGCGTTCTGCAAGTGTATTATTGTGCCATCTCAAAGAAGCACAGAATCACTTACACAGACTTTTTCATTAACTGTTCCCTCCTGGTGGAATGACCTGCCCAACTCAATCCGAGCAGCTGAGTCCTTAACCATCTTCAAGAAACGACTAAAAACACATCTGTTCCACCTTGATTTGACACTCTAACTCTAACACTTTCTATTCTATTTTAATTCTACTTTATCTATATTTATC